TTATTTATATTTGCAGGAGCCAATGGAGAAAGTGAGAAAGTAGCCACTGAGCTGGGCTGCAGGAGCAGCTTATCAAGGCCATCTGCTAGGTCAGAGGGAGAATGGTGGCATCGCACTGTGCAGCAGCCTTTCCTTGACTTGCCACGGTGCAAAGCAGAGAATATGAAGACACTGATTAAAATGCTGCCATAAGATCATTTTCATCAATTCCCACTCAGAATCACTCTAAGGAAAATGGGGAAATGAGAAAGAGAAGCACGAATTTCATCTTTGAGGAAACTAGGAAAATTGGTTACCCCAAATCAGTTTATGCGGAAAGGATGGCAATGGCAGGGAAAATCAAGAAGGAATGTGTGGAGACTGAGAAGGGATGTTTCAGCTGCTAATATCATACAAGGCTGGTGAGATAAAAAGGGTCAAAACCAACAGTCTGTTTTTTAAACAATTGGAACAAACATATAGTCTGGTTATAGGCATATCTGTGGACCCCATTTGGCATGGACAGTAGGCAAGACTGAAGAGGGAATTATCCAAAGAAGCCATAGATGGAAGAACCAGTCTGTTGGTGAGAAAGAGTAGTATGCATTGGGAGCAATTGCATAAATGCTAATTTAGTTTGCCCAAGAAATAAAAGCTAAAAGACCACTGCCCCTCTCTCTCATGGAAGCGTGTGCACACATATAAACACACACATGTCTGAAATAAGAACTCCTACTAGCTTGGTACAAGTTCATAAACTTCCCTTCTCAAACATCTAGCAAATAGGTGATCCAGGAAAATCTCACCTCAATCAAAGATGAGTATCAAAAAGTTATCATAATATGGTTTATATCTATATACCATGAGGGGAAAAAGCAAGACAAATTATAGGTGAAGCATACACACCAGGTAAAAAAGTTTTCATGGAGCTGACAGTAATTCTGATCAAGCTCATCATCATCATCATCAACAACAAAGTAATTTCTCTATAAAACAATAACTCATAGCAGAGATGGAATATCTCAGTAACACCATAGAAAGCAAAGGGATATAAGCTAGCACAGCTTATGAAAAGTGAAAGAAAAAACCAAAGCCATCTGTGAAATTAAAGCCCCATTAGAAGGAATATAGAGAAGGACAAGAGTGAGAAAGCAAGTATACAAGTGCACTAAGAGTGAAGAGTGGTCAGAGAGAACATGATAGACATGAATGATGGGCAGTAGAGAGCCTGTATATGATTAAACAGATGCCTCTAGCAGATAGAACAAAAATGAAGAAACAGAGAATGTATTTTAAAGTTATAATTAAAGAAAAGCTTCCAGAAATAAAAGAAGGCTTGAATTTATACATTGAGAGGGAACACTGCATCCCAGGGGGACAGCATTACAGAGAACAATCAACACCAAGACAAGGTCCTGATCTTCAAATACAAAGACTCTTTTAGGCAGGCAGACAAAAATATCAAGGGTGACCAACTGCCAGTTTACATGTTTTCCAGGCATAATTATTTAGTGTGCCCCCTTTCACTCTCAAAGGTGTCCTGACTTAAACAGCAAATTATAGGATTTCCTTGTATGCATATGGGGAATAAAAGAGGGGCATGAGAAAGCATAACTTCAGCTATTACCACAGCAACATTCAACACTAGAAACTAGCTAAAAAGCAAATACCCTAAAACCCTCCTATGACATCCTCAAAGAAAGAAAGTGTAACCTCAGAAAATTTATACCCAACCAAACAGCCGTTCAAATAAAAATAGAGCAATCGTTTTTGGTATTCATGAACCAAAGAGTATAATCCTCTGAATCCTTGAATAAACTGCTGGAAACTTCAGCTAACCTAGGAAGAATAAGAATAAGAATAAGAATAAGAATAAGAATAAGAATAAGAATAAGAATCAGCCCTGAGAGGGAAGTTCATAGAATTACAGGCCTATCTTAAAAGAAGGAGGAGGAGAAGGAGGATAAGGAGGAGGAGGAGGAGGAGGAGGAGGAGGAGGAAGAGGAGGAGAAGAACTGTAGCATTTTTGCCTCAATTTAAAATCATCATGCCCTGGCTGGTGTTGCTAAGTGCTTAGAGCATCGACCTGCACACTGAAGGGTTGTGGGTTCTATTCCTAGCCAAGGGCATGTACCTGGGTTACAGGTTCAATCCCTACCCTAGTCGGAGTGGGTGCAGAAAGCAACTAGTCTCTCTCTCATTCTCTCTCTCTCTCTCTCTCTCTCTCTCTTTTTCTCTCTCTCTTTCTCCTCCCTCCCACTCTCTCTAAAATATCAATGGAAAAAATATACTTGCATGAGGCTTTAAAAATAAATTTAATTCATCATATATTTTTATTTGCTACAATATAGTCCTGTCTTTATTCCCTACTTTAATGTTATCACAAAATCAAATAGTCTAACTTGCAAACCAGGAGTAATCCTAGTCACCCACCTCCCTCATTTCCACATCTAATTAATAAGTCATATCAAACTGCAAAGCTTTCTCTCAAATCTTTCTCTACTTTCCATCTCTATTGCCAATCTTTACTTCAGGTATGAGTCACTTTTGTCTGGAGAATTACAATGGTCTCATAATTGCAAGAGTAATTTAAAAACATTTATCAACTGACATGGCACAGGAACAATCAGAATGGATACCAGTCATAGACACAGCACACTGGTGCTTTTCAGCTATCTTTTATCCCTTGCCTAATTGGCCTCCTTGCCTCCAATATTCACTTGTTCCAATCCATTATCCACAATTTAGCTACTGTGATTTTTCTACAGCATAAAGTTGATTGTGTTACTTCTTGACTTAAGTTCCTTTAACAGTTAACCATTACCTACAGCAGTGATGGCGAACCTATGACACGCATGTCAGAGGTGACACATGAACTCATTTTTTTGGTTGATTTTTCTTTGTTAAATGGCATTTAAATATATAAAATAAATATCAAAAGTAGAAGTCTTTGTTTTACTATGGTTGCAAATATCAAAAAATTTGTATATGTGACACAGCACCAGAGTTAATTTAGGGTTTTTCAAAATGCTGACACGCCGAGCTCAAAGGGTTTGCCATCACTGACCTACAGCATTGTCTACTATGAGCAAGGTCCTTGAGGATCCAGTCCCCACCTAATTTTTAAAGTTCCAAATCTCATTACTCTCAAATTCATTGCCCTACAGTCACTCTGAACTCCTCCCAGTTGGGTAAACATACCATAAGCTCTTTGAGATTCAAGTGTCATCTCTGGAATAGGAGCAGAATATGCATTCCTCTAAAAGACCCCAATTATAATTGTGAAGTTATACCAGAGCATCATGAAAATCAACATGAGATAAGCCTCAAGGCCAAGAGGCAAAGCAACCTACTCTACAGGCCACCAGCCAGAGGTCTCTTCTTCCTTACTTCCCTTTCATTTTGAGTTTTCTGTTTATTAAACAATCAACCACTTTATATTACAGACACACTTCTTCATTTTTTTGACTAGTTGGCTAACAAGATAGTCACCAAGAAGTGGATTCTCAAAGTGATGCTGTTTCCTATCAATTGTGACAGATTATTAGCTACCTCTCCCACAAAACAAAGCAGAGCTGCTCTCAGGGATCAGAATTCAGTCTGCTCAGTCACTCGTTCAACTCATTGTTGGGAACCTCAGGCAGTGAACTCAGTGCTCTACATATAGTACTAAGACAGTAATGGTCCCTGTTCTTATGAGATTTCAATCTAAAGATAACAGATAAATACAAATTATGACAAGGATACAAAAAGTATTCAGTTAAAGAGAATAAGGGGACCCCTGCATGGTCAGAGGTCAGCCAAGGTTTCCCTGAGTAGATGATACTTAACCTGAGGCCTGAAGGATGACAAGACATGAGTCATGCAAAGATCCAGGGGAAGCACAATCTAGGCAGTTAGTCTCCACAGAGAAAAACAAAACTACAGTGGCTTTCTCAGATTAGTGCCTACTAATGGCATCTCACCCACTTATACAAGGAAAACAATCTATGTGGATATTTGTATTTTTGTAGAGAGAAATGAGATAACCCAATTATAAGTATGTTTGTGAATAAGTCTGGTTGAAATTCATACTTAGGATCACATTCTCTTAAATGTGCTTTGTGAATTTCCCTTTACATGTCTTTGTTCACATGGCCTTCCCATCTGTAGTGCTCATTGCCAACATCTACTGCAAAATTACAACCATTTTTGAAAGCCTGCTGCAGCCCACTCTTCCCCTTGGAAACTTCCCTGACCACTCCAACCTTCTGAAATTATCGTCTCCTCTGACTCCTACAGCCCTTCTACCTTTTTGTGCGAGCCCTTTTCCACAGACAATTTCCTTCCAGGAACACATGTCTTCCTCTCTTCCTATGGTTTAAGAACAGGCATCAAGCCTGGCCAGTTTTGCTCAGTGGTTAAGCATTGACCCATGAACTAGGAGGTCACAGTTTGATTCCCAGTCAGGGCATATTCCCGGGTTGCAGGCTTGATCCCCAGTGGGGTGGAGGGTATGTGTGTGTAAGAGGCAGCCAACCAACGATTCTCTAATCATCGATGTTTCTATCTCTCTCCATCTCCCTTCCTCTCTGAAATCAATAAAAACATTTTTTTAAAAAGAATCGGCATCAAGTTTTTGTGGCCAACTTCCAATTCTTTCCTCATTGTTTGATGGATAAGTTACAAAATTTGTTCAGCAAGCCCTTTCAAATTGAAGTAGACCACCCACCTACCTCAATAATTCCACATAATGAAAGCCCTACATAGGAGTTAGTATCATTTGAGTTTTTATGAAGGAATTTGACTGGTGGATATATAGATAAATACATACAGAAAATAATCTGAAGTCAAACATATTCTCTCCTCTATGTGAGTTCCTTAGAACACTTGCCATGTAAGTAAAAGCTACAGTACGATTTCCTCAACCAGAGCTCAGGGACTAGCAGTTATGAGAAAATCTACAAAGTTAAGGAAAAAACCCAAACTTAAGTTTTTCCCACTTCAAAAAACAAGGCAATGTTCCAAACATTTTTACAGTACAAAAATTTTATTTTTTGTTAGGATAATTTAAAGTTTAAAACTGAAGTAGGCATATTCATTTTACAAACAAGATATTCTTTCATAAGTAAGACCATTAAAAACAGTAAACAAAAAAGCTGTCTTTACAAAAAGCTCTGTGCATAGCAACTTTATACCGTATATAACTGACAAAGCAAAATGAGAAAAAGGTAACTATACAGTTTGAAAATGAGACCTTACTGTACAAAAGGTAGAGAAGATAATGGTTTTTAAACCATGCATATTGAAATGTGCAAAGAAAAACTGGGGAAAAATACGATGTTATAACAAAAAAAGTGAGATAAATAATGAAGTAAATTGTCCCTTTAAATAAAAAATCTTACACAGCTCCTCTTATAAAGATAGGATAGAACTTGTAGTTACCTATAGAAATACTTGTCTTCCAAGTGGCACAAAAATAACCTGGGACCAGAATGATTCAACAGCAATGACTAAACAGGACAGAGTAGCTTTGTTTGAAATTTATTAGTACACTAAAAATAATCCTTACACACATTTATACAATTAAATAAATCTGTTGCTGCCAAGGTTCTAGCTGAATGGTCAAGGTGTCTGGTATTTAGTTACACACATTATTTTCGGTGTAAAGCTACCAACAAATTCTACAATCATGTTGAAGACAGTACTGCACTCATCTTCATGCAAGAGCAAAATTCACAGATTCTAAAAGCAATGCTACTTTAAAAAAACATTTCCTTATGTTGGATTGGCTCAAATCCAGGTCTAGACATGCTTGACTTTGTTCTGCCTTCCCTTCTGGATGGTAATGTTTGTGTTCTACACACTTTCCCTTCCCATACGATTTTTCACTAGGGAACTTTCTCTCGTGCGTTTCCCTATATTTTGGCGCTTCAAGCCTGACTGTGAGGGACTGTCAGCAAAAGTTATGAGCATGTCAGGTCTCCAAAACCTTGGATTCTCCTGTGCATAGAAATAATATTTGGGTCATATTGGGTAATTCCAGAATAGATTATAGGCAAATAAGACTGATGGGGTTGAGTAGTTGTGGGCATGTATCATCTAAAATTGGCTCAGATGCACTAAAGGTGTTTTTCCATGAGAGCTGCATCAATTTCTAATGTTAGAAACCCAAACTGGAGTCTGTGTATAGACGATATTATGTGCCAATGAGTCAACAAGGAAAACCCTGACCTGGAAAAAAATGAGATCCTTATTGGCAATCCAAATAAGTCTGGATGCATCCCCAGGATCACAGAGGCTCCTGCAATGTTTCTCCCCCTCAGAGCCACTCCCAGAACTACGGACAGCCCACTGCAGCCCTGGGTAACCGGGCTGCTTGGGACACAGATGTCCCCAATCTCTGACCCTGCTAAAAATCTGGGTTTCCTTTTTTTTAACACCAGGAGAAGGATTTGGGGCTTTTAACATTTCTCTTCATACCCCATCCCATTCTTGGCCTGGAAACTGTGTCAAGTTGGATACATACTTTTTCAAAGAGAGTTAATGCCGTGAGAGGGGAAATCTAAAAGAGAGAAGAAAGAACTTGACATTCTAAGAGTACAAGGAACAGATTCACCTGTTTCTGAAGTTCTGTGGGGCTTCTACCTCAGTGCTGAGCCAGGGAACCCAAGAGGACGGAGTGCATGGTTCTGTGAAGACCTAAGGGGCGGCTGGGTGGGGAAAGTCACGTGGCTTTGGCTCTTCTTTCAGGTGAGACTTGGTTCCCTGCGGTGAAAAGCTGGGATGCACTAAAACTTGGGAATTCTCTGCACTGCTCAAGGGACAATGTTGAAAGCTAATATAAGGTTTTTTTTGTTTTTGTTTTTAATTTCACACAGAGTGAATACTAAAAGGGACTTGTAGACTATTTAGAAAGCAGATGGGGATGGGAATGAATTTATGGGCTTGAGTATTTTGTATTTGCATGGATTTGAATCTCTGTTTCTGTTGGGCTGTTCTGTAGGAATCTACATCAGTACTTGTTCTTGCCCATGGGTCAATAAAATGATGGAAAAAGAGGGGATGCAGGCTGGGGGGAAAGACTCTAGTAAGTAACTGCAGTAATAATCACACATCTTTTAAACTTGTTACTACTTGTTTGCATCAGTTTCATTTTACATCAGAAAGAGAACTTCCTCTCTTCCAAAAAGGTCTTAATTTCTACCTCTACTTACAATAAGTTACACGTTTATTTATTTAAATAATTGTAAAACATTTTAAATTTTTCCCTTTTTTTAAAGAGATTAAACTATAAGCAAACACACATACAACAACATGTCATTCAATTCGGGTTTCATTTTAAGAAAGTCTTCCATGCTGGTACCCTGTTTTGTTCAGTTTTTTTTTCTGCATAAACTAAATTGGTATCTGAAAGGCTTCATAGAAAATAGAAACTTTCAACTTTTTTTTTCCTACAAAGAAAAACAAATAGTATCCAAAATATTAAGCTTGAATTGTTTGCCAATTTTTTTTAAATATTTTACAAACATAGGAAGGTGGTTCTTATAATGTTCATAACAAAGAATTGCATTTCTGCTTTTAGCACTGACTACGTCAATGACATCTTTTGTCCTTGTCCCCAAGAGGGTCAGTTTGTATAGCCACCATCAGAGCTACACAAGGAAGGAGAGACCAGGTAACAAGCAGCTCCTCGTATACCCAAATCTGTCCATCCGTTCATTTGGGGGGCACAACTCTCCCCAAAGACCTAATAGTGCTTTCTTCATTGTTGGTCCATCAGAGTAAGTAGTTTTGTGCTATAAGAAAGCAGCTCTTCCTCTTCTTTACATCGGGGGCACGACAAGTCCGGTCATGGCTGCAAGAAAAGAAGGACACAGGAATGAGTCTCTGAGGTTTTTTACATTGAAGGCTATAGCCCAGAGAGGGGGCAGGTGATTGGGCTGACAAGTCTGATGCAATCCAGAAAGATGGTATCAGGTTTGGTCTAGTAGAAAGCCGACAGAGGTCCCCAAACCTTCCTGATCACTAAGTACAAGCAAAGCTTGTTGAAGTTTTGCTTGGGAGGCCAAGAGTTATGTTTTCTTTTATGTTAATGGTTTGTGGACATGACATGGTGGATATAAACATGTAAACTAAATTGTACAAGATGTATGACATATTTTTCATTATTAGACTAAAATAATTTCTAGATTATACAGTTCCAGACCCACTTAGTTGGAACAGGAGAGAATGCTCCAGGGGCTGAATCTATTGAGTTACTTATGAGGCATCATTTATAACAAGTCAGACTTCCTATCCATCCTAGGTTTCTACCCATTCTAGCTGAAATTTGATTAGCTTTTCCCCTAACGAGCTCATCTTCCTTTGGTGCTCGCTGCTGCCCTGTGATGCTCAGTCATTAATAAATGCTGATCCACTGGAATAGAGGACTTAATTTAGTTCCTAATTTGGGAGTCACTCCAACCTCCACCCTTCATCCCCCGCCCAAGCACAGTGTGCAACGTCTCCTCCATGTAGTCAAGAGGATGTGGACAGCCTGTCTGGGTGGCATCAGGTCCAAGCTTTTCCCTTGAAGTGGGAAATAAAGCAGCATCAACACAGCGTAGAAAAGTCACACAGAGATGCACCCCTCTGGCCTTGGCTTTCAGGTGATAAACCCATAGATTTTTCACATTCTTGGAAACTGGCAGAATCATTTTCTTGCATTAAGTCTTCAAACTATATCTAGGATTTGATCCTTTAGCTATAGTGTCTATATCTCTTCTAGGGCTTATTAATTAGCATAGAAGCATTTTGCTGAGTGGTGCTTACTGAGCTTATAAGCAAATGGATAAAATTCTTCTTGCTTTCCCCAATACACCTCTCTCCTCCATCTCCTCCTCTTCCCCTTTCAGTTCCTACTCCCCCTTCTCTGTCTCCATTCCTCCCTCTCTTCCTCCCTCTCCTTCTGCAACTCCTCTCATACCAGCTAGTCTTCTTGGGCAAAATTGTCAGCCGTATATTTCCCTGCCCGTACAGCCTTTATTGAATGCTTGTGAGATCTGGATTAAGGTCTTACACAGCTAGCAAAACCTTAATTATTTTTGCCTGTATTACTATATATCGAATCAATGTAACTTTTCAATAAAGGCAGTTCAATTCTGGACACTCCCTGATGATTTGGAGACACAGCAACCTTGGTAATTATCCTAGAGTGTAGGAGGTTTTCTTATTTTATTTTTTTTCCTGGAGGGATCTGGAAAATGAATCAGGTGCCTAGTGCATAATATTATCTTGACACTCTGTACTCATCAACTGTAAATGCCTGAGAGATGAGGTGGAGGGTGGGACAATGACACTACATGTACAACTCTATGGTAGAGGGAATCTGGCTCAAGTTTTCAACTTGAACTTGTCTATTGCACTCAAAACTCATCAGCCCCTTCCTTTCTCTAGGTCCTCAGAGAGTTACCTACAAAGCTTACTGAAAGGGCACAGTTGCTCAAAGAACCAGCTCCACTGCTTGCCAAAAGAACAGCAGACTTTACATATTTTTCCTTCTTCCTAGTCTCATGTTGGGCATTGGTGGGCTAGATCTCTGCTGCATGGTGACCCTGACTGTTTGCTGACAGAAACCATAGCCAATAGACAGAAAGCAGAAGTTAATTGGAGAAAAAAAGTAAGCATTTTTGTGGGGGAGGAGAGAAATGGCTTAACGGCATGTTGTCCAATTTTTTGACCTTTGGCATTTCATGGGAAAGCAATAATCCCTCTTTAGTCCAGGTGAGGAGTAGGCATGGGTGAAAGGTGAGAGAGGAATTGCACTACTCTTATCCCCAGAGAGACAGTGGGCTGTCTGAGCACCAGTTCTGGAGTCAAAATGTCTAGGTCATGTCATTGGTCACTTGCTATGTGGCTTGGGCAGCTACTTAACTGAACATGGTGCTAACGGTGTGGCCTTCCCCTTTGGGTCACATGAGAGGCTTGAACAAGACAATTCAGGTGAAGTGTTTGGTTCAGTGTCTTGCACGTGGTGTTCAGTGGTGCTCAGTGAGGGTCAGCAAGTATTGGAGGTCCCCAGAGAGACAGTGGGCTGTCTGAGCACCAGTTCTGGAGTCAAAATGTCTAGGTCATGTCATTGGTCACTTGCTATGTGGCTTGGGCAGCTACTTAACTGAACATGGTGCTAACGGTGTGGCCTTCCCCTTTGGGTCACATGAGAGGCTTGAACAAGACAATTCAGGTGAAGTGTTTGGTTCAGTGTCTTGCACGTGGTGTTCAGTGGTGCTCAGTGAAGGTCAGCAAGTATTAGAGGGCATTAGTCGCACACGTCCTCTGCAGATGATTAAGAGCATCTCATCTTACAAGCTAGAAAAGAGCCTTTCCATCAGCCAAGATCGCCCAACCACCTTAGATCTATTTTCACTCTCCGACCATCTGTCTCTGAAGATATGAAGTGTCCTTGCAATCCCATATTCCTTCCTTTGATGACTGTGGGTAGTACATTCAATGTCAGCTTGGTTTTAACCTTGTCCGCATCAATGGACATTGTAATGTCGAGCCTTGAGCTTCTCACTGGCTCCAACATGAGAAAGAGTGGGGGGCCAAGACCTCTGAAAGACATCCTTTGTCAATCCCAGCCTTCTCTCTGCTGGTCTGTGTGAAATGTCCCTTATCATTCCTAATCTTTACACAAATCACTTCACAACAACCCTTAAAGTTAGCTTTGAGCTTTTCTATTTAACAGCCTAAGAACTGAGGCTCTCAGATGATGATGATTTGTACAGATTCACATAGCCTGGAAGAGAGCTGAGCTAGAACTCTGATAAAGTCTAGTGTCCTTCCAATGGCTGATATCCCCTGAGGTTCTTCTCAGCATTCTCTTTTATTTCTCCACACATTACTTTCTATTTTCATAATTTTTACTAATGTCTACAATCCTAATTTAAGTGCTTCTCTTTTCCTTCCCTCCCTGCCCTCCTCCTTCTTCTAAGGTTCAAATCACCAGAAAATTTTGGAGGAAATTGTAGAATCCAAAAGAGGCTAAAGACCTCGTTGTAATTCTATAGAAATGAAACCAGAGCCCAAAATCTGTGCCTACATGTAACCAACTAAATTCTCACTCCTAAAGACAGGATCAAGATTGTGCAGCTCACACAATACCATATACACATCATGTACTATAGAATTGTACACTTGAAACCTATATAATTTTATTGACCAAAGTAACCCCAATAAATTCAATAAAAATATTTTTACAAAAAAGAATGTGCACCTCAGCCACTCTCTTAGCCTAAGCATTCTAACCTGTGATGAGAAGCAGCTCACACAGCTGAGGACCCTAGAGAGGGTCTTCTGGCTCTTTTGCTGCTGTTGTCCCAACACAAAAGCCTCCCTAAGACCCACACAAACTTCCCCAACTCTTTGAGCCAACTCAACCCTGACTGGGTAACACCACAGGGAGCCTTGGGTATATACCCATAGGCAGGGAGGGGATCCCAGAACATGGGAGCCAGTGAAAAATTCATCTTGGCTTCCAGCTAAGAGTTGGGTGGGCCACACAAGTGGGCCTCCCTGGACAGGACAGATCCAGAATATCTGAGACAACCAGCTCTACTTCCCCAATTCTATGGTTTTTGAGTGGGGGGGGGCGCGGCAGGGTGGCAAGGGGAAATCAAGTTATACTTTTCCCCCTCAAAGTGAAATTGAAAATATTTGCAAGAGTTGCCTGGAAGGAGGAAAGGACCATATCCCTCCATCTTCCTCCCACACCTGCAGTCCTCCTTAGCTTTTCTTGAGCCTCTCACATTACACTTCCCCAATGAGACCTGTGTGGCCCCCATTTGGTTTAAGGGACATGACTAAAATCAGAGAACAGGGAAAGGGGAGACATCATCACTGGAGTGGCCATGGAGAAGGGGAAGATACAGCAAATATTCAGCAATTGTTGTCATGTCCCAGTCTGAAGACAAAGCCATCATGGAAAAGGTTCTGAACACGCCCCCTAGCAATGGGATGGAAACCACTACTTTGATAAAAGATGGGCATGTGGAGACACTTAGCTATAAGATGAGCCTGTTTCTCTACGAATCAGACATCTGGAGATATATATATATATATATATATATATATCCGTACCAAATTCGGTGCCTGCCCACCATGGCATGCACTGGCCCAGAAGGCTTCCACAGAAACACTGTGGTGCATGGGCCCTGATCCCTTCTGCTGGGCCTCAGGGATAAGTTTGGCTACAGACAAAAATTATATATATATATTTCCCTCAAATATACAGATGTTTCCAACTACTCATATGTTAGGTGGCATGTAGGTGCAATGGCTTTGTCTAATTAGAGGAAAAAGAATTTTCAGGGACTCTTGTAAGTGCTGGGCTTTTAGTTCTCATTTGACAGTTTCTCTGTTAAGTCACTTCACTTCGAAGAGACACCATCGCCTCTGATGGTAGGAAGGGAGAGAAACCTAACACACCTTCCAGAGCTCTGCTCAAACACAGCCCCTGATGAAACCTTGCAGGTGTCCCCAAAGGATCAGGAAGCCATTCACTATCATAAAGCCCCTAGGCCAGTGGTTCTCAACCTGTGGGTCGTGACCCCTTTGGCGGTCGAACGACCCTTTCACAGGGGTTACCTAAGACCATCCTGCATATCAGATATTTACATTACGATTCATAACAGTAGCAACATTACAGTTATGAAGTAGCAACGAAAATAATTTTATGGTTGGGTCACAACATGAGGAACTGTATTTCAAGGCCAGAAGGTTGAGAACCACTGCCCTAGGCAGATGCCATCCCAGGGATAGCACAGGTCATCCAAGGCTCTGCTGACTGCAGAGGCCTTGATCCATGAAGGGTTAACCAAACCTCTGCCTGCTTTGGTTTCATTCAACACTGCTGGTCATGCATGTTTTCATGTCAAGAGATGGGGAACAGCCTAAAAATAATGTGGGTCGTCAGGATCCACAACATTCAGCAGTTTCCAATTTGTTCTTTGCCGTCAGCAGCCTCCCATTCACACTGAGATGATTAGATTCTCATGTACTCATCACATTTGTGTTACGTCATGTCATATTAGATTTTAAGACATTGCTCAAAATGGGTTTGATGGGTGATCAGTTTTTGTTCTTAGACACAATATCTTTTTTTCTTCCTTCTCTACACCACCCCAATCAGGCACCTGCTATCAATTTGACTAGCACATAGCCGGAACTCTCTTCACTGGCTGGTGCTCCTGAGGGAGTCTGTGCATTTGTGCCAAGGGAATGTGTATGCACTGCAGATGGTTAGACGAGTAGGTAAGTGGTCATCACCATGTAGCATCCAACCTGGTGATCAGACCCCTACTAGGAAATAGTGAAAAGCCAAGGTGTGGGGAGTCCAGACACCCCTGGAGGGTATGTTTGGCTCTACCAGTTAATTCTGTGATCATGCAAAGTTGTTCAACTTCTGTTTTCCCCCATCTTGCTCTTGAATGGAGTACTAGCCCAGGTATAAAGCCATTCATATACCACCATGAAAACAACAAAGCATCTCTTTGTAAGTAAATTGGCTAGAGATACAGCATAAGGCCATGCAGTTTGCTTTTACTCTGCTGGCCTGTGACACATGGACCATACTTACTCCCAGTGTGGGGCCTTGGCTTACCTCTGAATCCATTTCCATTGCCACTGGAGCAGGCGGGCGAAGGGGAGCCTTGGGGCCTGATGACAGGGGCAAAGGCACTCTTCTGTTTGACAGCAGGAAAAACTGAAGAGGAAAATGGGAGGATGGAAGACGTGCTGGAAGATCCAACAGTGGGGCTTGATGACATTACTGGAAAGCAAATGCACAATCTTCTTTTAGAGAGAGAGACATATGGAGAAGTTCTTTCTTCAGTGCATATAACCCTACACAGTTATTGAGAAATGACTAATTCATTCCAGGTATTGTTCCAGATTCCAGGGATTTAAAAATGTTGAATGTGACAATGTCCCTGCCCTGAGCAATAGACAAGGAGAACAACTAAGAGGGTGATAATTTAATTGGAGGAACATATACAGCTAAACAGACCTAGCGGGTAGAGTGCCCCATTGCCTGGGAGAGTCAGGAAGGCATCAGCAGGATGTGATATTATGATAGGTCTTAATTCATGAGTAGAAGCTCAACAAGAGAAGACTGAGACCAAGATCCGAAAAATCACCAATTCTACTCAAGAATGGAAACCTCTTTTTCTCCCTAAAATAAGTCCTGTCTGGGAGCTATCTACTTCCCTGGCAATTCTCAGGGCTCCAGAGTTTTGAGGTATGGGGTAACATCTTCTCAAATGGTGACATCTCTATGGGCCACTTCCTCATTAAATGTAAAAGTTTATTAACATTTAGGAGATTACTTCCCTCTCCCTCTACTTGCAGAGCTCCTGGGAAATAAAGCTGTGAGTCAGCCTCCTCTGATGTAATGTGAAGGAAAAACACCGATATTAATGTTAAAATTACTTAAAGGAAGCCAAAAGCTAAGTGTTGTAACTTCAAAAAATAAAATAAAGGCAATTTACACAATAAAGTGCCCCACCTCTTAATGTCAGATACTCCAAGTTACATCACACAAGAAGATAATTTTTTAAATATCCTCACCCAAGAATATCTTTTTATTGATTTTAGATAGAGAGGAAGGGAGGAAAGAGAAAAACATTGATGTGAGAGAGAAATATCGGTCCTGTACACACCCAACCTGGGTATTTGCCCTGACCAGTAATTGAACCCATGACCTTTCAGTGTATGGGACAATGCTCCAACCAACGAAGCCGCACTGGCCAGATTAATGATTTAGCTAAAGCTGCTTATTACTAGGTAGTCCTAATTTTATCTTCTATGTGTAACTTGCTCAAGAAAGGGGTAAACTGAAATTCACATGGGTCAAATTGTTCGATATAGCATCTTATAATAGAAGGCCAAGCTTCATGAACTCCTTTTAGCATCCTCTCCAGAATTCTGTACTGTCAAAATCATATAACTTGGTAAAAGAATTACTAGAAAACCCCATAGCAAAGCCTACAATAAAAGCTGGCAGTGCTAACTAACTTCTGCTTCAGATCTTCAGTGGCCCAGCCTCTCCACAATTAAATTTTGAAAGTAAGGACATGAGTGTGACTTATGGTTCAAAGAACAAGTATAAGGTGCATTGAAGGTCAAATGTTCTGAGGTCCTATGTAAGACTCCATATCACTTTCCCCTCTCTCATAACGATTTACTTTAGTCTACGTTCACACATTTGCATGTAGTATAATGCAGTCATACAGCATATCCCCAATATGTTTTTTATAGCCACACTGCATACCAAGTTTTCACTAAAAATGATTTATCTAAAAACTGTTTATCCTTAGGTAGTCCTGATTTAAAGAGCTATGCAGAAGGAAGCATCTGGGTATACTTCTGTCTTTCCTCAGTAATATGATTTTTTTTAAAGCTGGAAAAAAAGACAAAGTCCCAGAAGAATCTCATGTAATACTGAGGTAGGGGGGTAAGAGATCAACCAAAGGACTTGTATGCATGCATATAAGCATAACTAATGGACATAAGACACTGGGGAATAGGGGAGGCTAGGGGACTGTCTAGGGCGGGGGGAAAAATGGACACATATGTGATACCCTTTGTAATAAAAAATAAAATTTAAAAAAAGATGCAAATGAAGAAGAGATGGGGCTACCCTGGTGTCGGAGGATAGGGTACAGGATTAAGCACTGGGAGTGAGTCCTAGTCATAGTTCCAAGCAAAATCTCCTCTTCTCATCTTGTTTTTAGCAACAATAAAATCTGTGTAGGAGCAAGGAAGGGAGGGAACCTCTCTCCTTTCTATGAGGCACAGAATTAGAGGCCGGAGAAAAGCTGCCATACTGTGTGATCCATGCAGGCTCCAAAATGGCGCCTTGATCTCTATGTCTGCAATGGAGAACCTCCCCTCATACCCCATAGCAGAGGGGGGCAGTTATAATGTGAATTAGACACACACACACACACACACACACACACACACACACTATAATTATAATTATAATTGCATTATAATGCAATTCCATTTCCATTTAACATATGACTCACTTTTACAAATATTTCTTTTCTCATAACAGATCCAACCTAAAATGGGTTGATTAGATCAAATGTGACTGCCTCTCAGTGGAAGGGGAGTCACCTGAAGTTTTATTAAATGGCATAAAAGAATTGTTGAGAGTTGAATAAGCAGAGAACTATACCATGCCCACTCAAAATATTTTTTAAATATCCAAATTAGTTTTAAATTTAATGCAAATATAATCAAAATCTTAAAAAGAATTTTAATTTGTAAGGGTCAACAAACATAATTTCTATGTTTATCTGTTTAAAGAAACAACACTATAGGAACCAGAAAGTTTTGTTTAAAAATTTTTGAAGTAGTAAGGAGGCATTTATCTTAACATATTACGAGTTATAATAAATCTATATCAATGAAATAAGTGTTATACTAGCATAAATATAGTTAGACAACTCCTTCGAGAAAATAGAGTCCAGAAACAGACCTGAGTATATATATATATATATATATATGAGAATTAAAATTTAATAAAGGTGACATTTCAAATTAGTGTGGAAATAAATGCCTGGGAACCATACACTACCATTTGGAGACTAAATTTAGAATGCTTCCTCATGTTAAACTCTAAAGTAAATCTTAGTGCATTAAAGAGTTATTTGCAAAAATGAAATTATAAAGGTGCTAGTGGAAAAATTAGGAAGGTTGGATAATTTACATAATCCTTTCAACCCTCAAGTCTACATAAAATGGCAGGAGATAGATTTGCTACAGGACAAAAAACTTCTGTAACACACACAGAAAAGGCAAACGACAAATTAGCAGAAATATTTGTGGTAATTATCAGATGTGTTTAAATCCTCAATAGCTAATAAGCTTTTGTAAATTAATTAGAAAATGAAAAACATCCCAAAAGAAAAATGGGCAAAGGACACCAAACGGGAAGTCACAGAGCGAAAACTGAAAATGACCAAAAGACCTTCATAGACTTATAAATGTTCACACTGACTCATAATCAAATGCAAATTAAAACAGTACTGAGCTGTTTTCCAGTTATCAAATTGGTAAAGATTAAGAAGAAATTAACAGGGCAGGGAGTTAGGTCCTTTCCTAAGGGGCGGTGACCTCTCTGGAGGGACTCTGACAATAAGTACCAAGGTATCTGTGTTTTTAAATGTGCATAGTTCTTAGCCCAGTAATTTAATTTCTAGAAGTTAACTGCCAGGGAATAATCATAAGTGTGCAAAAACTAGATCCAAGGGCATTTTTATACTTGTGAAAAAGTGGGACATAACTGAAGTGATCATCAATAAGGTCCATGAAACGGACCACTATGGAAACTAAAGTTGGACAAGAATATTGAATGACATGGAAAGATATGCTTAATAAAGCAGATTAAATAATAACATATATGTCAAGTCCACTTTTTAAAAAACATATGGAGCAAAAGTCAGGATGTGATTTATGTCCAAACTTTTTTTAACCTCATCAAAAGATATGTTTATATTGAGAGAGGAAGAGAGGGAGAGGGAGAGAGAGAGAGAAACATCTACATGAGATAGGAACATTGATTGGTTGCCTCTTATACACACCCTGACTGGGGGTCAAACAGGAAACTTAGGTATGTGCCCCGACTGGGAATCAAACCCAAAACCTTTTGGTGTACAGGATGACACTCTAACCAATTGAGCCACCTGGGCAGGGCTACACCCAAACTTTTAATGATATACATTTCTCTGACTGATGGGATTAAGACTATTCTTAAATATTCCTTTTACTTGTACATATTTTCAAAATTTTCTACAATGAACAGGTATTACTTTTGATGTAAGAGAAACCAGTAAAAGCTGTTAAAATAAACAAATGGAAAATCTCTATTTCTTTGGTATAAAAAAAATGTAATTTTTAGCAATAGCTGTCTTGGATGTCAATGTTTCTCTTAGATTTAAGGCTTTCCTTCCTGTAAAATGGGTTTTCTGTTTACCTTCTGTCACAGAAAAGCAGAGACTAATAAATTTTCAAATTCCTGGGGAAAGCTTGTTGATTGTGGCTAACTTTGCAAAGCAAGCATCATTGCCAGTGTGTAGGACACAGGCCTGCATCAACAGGTTTTATGGAGCCTAGCTTCATATCTGTGACTTGGCTAATTTTGCCACTTTTCTTCTCCTCTTTCACTGGTCTTATGGCAGAAAATCATTAGTTGTGCATCAGAACAGGCACTGCAATTTTCAAAATGTGTCTATCCATGGCTGTACTTTAAAAGTTAACAGTGGTTATCTCTGCAGAGAAATAAAGGGTGTCATTTTCCCCCTTTTTACATATACATGCTTTTCTAATTATCTATAATGAGCATGCTACTATTGTAATTGGACATTTTTTCTTTCTTGAAGAAAAAGACAAAAGAAATATATCAAAATGTTAACAAGGTTTTAAAAATTTTTTTTAATTGAGTTTTAGAGAGAGACAAAGGGAGAGGGAGAGAGAGAGAAACATTAATGTGAAAGCTAAACATCGATCAGCTGTCTCCTTGTACACCCTCTACTGGAAATCGAACCCACAATTCAGGCATGTGCTCTGACAGGGAAATGAACAGGCAACCTTTCGGTGCACATGACAATGCCCAAGAGTCACACTGGCGAGGGCAACAATGTTGTTTTATTTATGGTGAGAGTAGGTTTTCTTTTTAAAACTATTTTCATGGGCTCCAATTTTTCTATAAAAATCATTTAATAATCTACAATAGCAAATATCTTGATATTTATTTTTGAAAATATAAAAGTATTGAGGCTCAGGGCATAGTCTAAGACTGTGGTTGGCAAACTGTGGCTCGCAAGCCACATGCGGCTCTTTGGCCCCTTGAGTGTGGCTCTTCCACAAAATCCCACATGCAGGCGTGCGTACAGTGCGATTGAAACCTCGTGGCCCATGCGCAGAAGTCGGTTTTTGGCCTGGGCGAGTCTATTTTGAAGAAGTACTGTTGATTTGGCTCTGTTGACTAATGAGTTTGCCGACCACTGGTCTAAGACTATGTGAGTAAAGTAGGAGTCTCTGAGGACAGGTTGGATTTTTGTCTTATGGATTTTGTTCCAAAATTTTGGATTTGCTTGGTGGCTATTCTGCTTTGGAAGAAGTGGCCCCTGGGTGTTGCAGTTTGAATAGGCCATCTTTGGGGATACCAGAGTGCACCGATTTGGGAAAGTTGATCACATGTACCATTGAGAATTTCTCTGGACATCTCTCTCTATGGACAAAGGCCAAAGTAAAGGCCAGCACTCCGGGCCCAGAAATCTCTGTGAACACGGGGAGTTAAGGAAAAACCACTTTTCTTCTTCTAAGGATTGATTGGCTTACACGGTCCCAGCTGGACCTCAGTGGGCACACATCCTCCTTTGCATTGAGCCATTGCATTTGCTGGCACTCAGGTGTCTGTCAGCATTTCATTATAACCCCCGATTGTCAGGGGTTTAGAATTCAGCCATAAAAACTTGCACTGAGCTGGAACTTGGCACTCACTGCTACCGCCAGGAAGTGAAGTTTGTATGTGAAATTGAAAAAACATCTGTTTGGCCATTTTTGAAGTTGTGTGAGAGAAAAAGCAGTAAAGATGCAGGTTTTTGATACTCTGTATTAGCCATAATGTAAGTCAACTTGACCAAAAGACTTGGCTTTATTTCTTTTTAATGTCTCTAACAAGTGATTGTTCCATGGCCTGACCTGGCCACATCAGACTTTTTTTTTTTTAGTTTAAAAAATAAAATGAAAAATTATAGAATGCTGTTTTCAGACACATGCACCTGAACTGATAAAAATCCTTTAATCCTTTCCTTTTTTTTTTTTGTATTTGCCAGAGATGTTAAGACTTAGTGGTTAGAAATTAGAAAGACAGGTCAGATATTATTGTGATGAACTCCACAGGGTATTTTGTAATTTAACAGTAGAGGATTTTATTGTAATGAATTAATGAATGCACTGTTTGGTTTCCCATTCTCAGTCTGAAACTCCTTCAGACCCTCCCTCAGAAAATGAAAGCAAGGACCACACACACCCAGCAGGAGCTAGGAGGAGGCCCTTGGCTATGTTTCCCACTCCTGTTGGGCAGGGCATCTTCCTCTTTCTATTCTGTGTATGCTGTCTTCCTTACTTGTTGTTGTTGTTAATCCTCACCTGAGGATATTTTCTCCATTGCTATTTAGAGAGAGTGTAAGGGAGGGAAGGCGGGAGGGAGGGAGGGAGGGGGAGGGAGGGAGAGAGAGAGAGAGAGAGAAATCCACGTGAGAGAAACACATCAACTGGTTGCCCCCCACAGGGATTGAACCTGCAATCCAGGTATGTGCTCTCAACCAGGAATCAAACCCATAACCCTTTCGTGTATGGGTTGATGCTCTAACCATTGACCCATGCCAACCAGGGCACTGTCTTGTTTACTTTGAAGACTTTGAGTTTATTATTTTTCCTGTGGCATGGGATTGAGTGATCAAGAAAGGGTAGTGAAAGTAAGGTGTCAGTTGCTGGTATAGGAAGGGTTCCTCCTTATCAAATGAATTATGGAAAAGAAATATCAGGCATTTTCATTTATTTATCCATTATCTATGTTTGTCTGTATATCTATCTACCTATCTATCTATCATCTATCTATCCTCTCCCTCCCAACTTACTCCTACACTGCACATTATATTATTATATATGTTTTTATTGATTTTAGAGAGAAAGGAAGAAAGAGAAAGAAACATCAATGTGAGAGAGAAACATCGATGGGTTGCCTCCATATGCATCTGGACTGGGGATCCAACTTGCAACTTGGACCAAGAATTGAACCCGCCACCCTTTGGTGCACAGGACAATGCTCCAACCTGCTGAGCCACACCAACCAGGGCTTGACCATTTTTGATCTACAAAAATGACCATTTCATATGGTTCAACCAAATACACACATTTTATTCATAAATGTATGCTTGAACATGTGATATTCATTTCATATGTTTCAGTCTAATAATGTATTATAAATATGTGAAATATTTCTTACATTATTGAATAACTTAAAAACTTGGTATTCTGAATCTGATGACTTGTTCTAGTCTCACTTTTGCTATTTATTAGTAATCCTTGAGTAAGTGATTTAATAATTATTAATATCTTAGAGGAGAAATTATGATAATTATAATTATTACCATTATTATATCCACATCATAAGGGTGTTGTGAGGATCTGACTGGACTGTACATGTGACAGCCTGATAGCTGTTAAATTGGAATGCAATTATGAATTCCTTTTATTGTTGTTACCACTGATAGGGGACGTTATTTACATAATGGCTCTCTTGCCCTCTACGACTTGTAGGGGCTGTTGACGATGTGATCCATTCTGCACACAGGTCCCCTCTCCACAAGGATGCAGGAAGAAACCTCTACAAGGTCTTGGCAACAGAAAATTCAAGTTTCTCCTGAGCTACTAAAAATATACAGTGGACACTAATGCTTATAGCAAATAGCTCCTCTCTTTGCTTTACCATCTTGTAAGTCTCCGAACCAAAATAATGGCTCCCTTGAATGACTGAATGGCATCCATACCTGTCCTTGGCTTCATCTAATTTTCCTATCCATATTTTTTCTTTTATCTCAATTTCTTACATTTTCTATCTTCTACTTTCATAATACCCATCTGGCCACTACAATTCCCCCATTTTTGAAACAAGATAAGGTAAAAAAGCAACAACAACAAATAAATTAATCAATCAAGCAAAAGTTTGTTTTTCTAGATCATTCTGGTCTAATTGATCTGGATCATACAACACAGAACTCATGTCATCAGATTTTAGTGGTACTAGAAGAATCAACCTCTCCTGTCTCTGCTCCCTGGTTGCTGTGTCCTTATCATATTCAGTAGGGTGCTGAGTGTGATGAATCATACACATATCCCAGAAAGAATTCATGGGTGTGTATCAATAGGGAATCATAGACCCAAAGGCTGAGCAGCAGCCTCCAGATCCTTGGCATGTCACTTCCTGAGCTGTGGTGGAAGGGGGTGTATGTCGACCTTGACTCGCCCTTGTTCTTGGCATGAGGGAACCATTCTGGGAACGAGGATCTGCTGCAAAGCCTGCCACAGGATCTAACATCTCAAGAACACCCCACTCAATCACTCAGACTCTCCATGGTGGCTTCTCTCCTGGCCTGAAGTATCCCCTAAGTAGGTTTGAAAAACACATGTTCTCTTAGCTTGTGTAAGTTCCCAGTTTAGCTCTGAAAGCAAGCTGAGTGAGTTTTCATAACTTCCTGGAACATCTAGCTTGCTGCTAGCCCATAGGTCAAGATTAGGAGGTTCTGTCTCTCCATTCACCTATTGATGGGCCCTGGTTGCTTCCATATCTTGGTTATTGTAAATAATGCTGCAATGAACACAAGGGTGTATATATATATTTTTAAATTAGTGGTTTTGTTCTTCTGGCTAAATACCCAAAAGTGGAATTGCTGGGCCATGATAAGTTTGCACAATGACAGATGACTAGACTTAGTGTGGTAATCACATTGGAAGGTACATAAATATTGTACGCCTGAAATCAATGTAATATTGTACACCAACCATACTTAAATTTTTTAAAAGGTTTTATCTCCATGTATCACTCTCACAAGTTGTCAAATTCATCTCTCTAGAACAGCAACTTTTACACAGTGTGCCACAAGAATTTTAAAAACATGCAATACCTGACCATTTAGTCAGGGGCACTTTTCCCTTAGATTGTCAAATAAAAAAATGACAACAGCCAACATAACAATAGCCGTCTGGTTGAATGAATCAAAATTATAATTTTTCTGTCAGATCAGCAAAAAATATATATTTTTTGATGTGCCGCAGTTTTAGTAATTAGTTTATGTGTCCCATGAGATGAAAGGGGTTGAAAATCGCTGCTCTGGATGGAGGAGAGAGCCATGTACCACAGTACAAAGGGAGCCTGGTGGGATGCACAGAATATCGTGAAGTCATAACTTCTATGTTGAAATGATTACCCTGCCCTTTTCCAGCTGTGTGGTCGCAGGTAAGTCAGTGATTTGCTGTGCACCTAAACCTCCTCACCTGGAACAATGGGATAATGATACCGACCTCAGAAAGTTCTTAGGAGGATTAAATAAAACATCATATCTGAAAATCCCTGGTGAAGAGTATACATTACTCTTCACGGAATCTGAATTCCTCTCCTCTATCTACACAAGCTACATAGGCTCTTTCTCTGTTTAAAAAAAGGAAACATTTCCCCTCTTTCTTCTCCCCCCATCTGCCCCACTCCCCCGCCCCGCCCCAAGACTTGGAGTAACCAAAGGAGCCTAAGTCTAGCGAAGGGAAAAGAACAAAAGGCGGGAAGGAAAGGAATTGGGCTCTTCCTTCATGGGGCAGTGAGATGTAGGAAGGAGGGCAACTCTCCCTCAAAAGGCTGAACAGTAAAACCCAGGACAGAGACAGGGAGAGGCAGACAGTGGAGACGGAACTTACTTCCATAAGGGGAGCCTGTGGGGGAGCCGTTTAGAAATCCTGGTGACCCTGGAACGCCCAGGTTGGCCATGGGGACGTTGCTGTAGCCATTCATACTGTTACTGGAGGTGCTGTAATTCGACTGCTGAGGGGTAGAGCTGGAAGAGTAGCCCCGAGGAGAGATGCTGCTTGTGTTGCGGATGTAACCTGCACAACCAAGAAAAGCCTAGGTGAATGAACCAATGTGCACACATAGTGCAGAGCAAGCATGGCAGCATAGATCCACATCAGCCCAGACTACAGAGCACCACCAACCTGATCCTGGACGGGGTGCAATGTGCGCATCTGACCTTCATCCTTTAATACTTCCTTTCCCTTCCCCATCCTACCCAAGGCCATGTCCCTCACGGTCCCTCCTTCATCTGCTTTTACATTTGCAGTCAACCTCACCAACTCATACCAAGGAATGACTAATGGCAGTGTATACTGACATCTCCCAAATCATATTTCATATAACACGAGAGCCCTATGAGATATTAATAAGTATCACTGAGAAAAGCATTGTGTGGTCAAACAAAGTGTGGCAGATGTTGCAGACTGTAGTCATTCTTTGAAGATTGGCATATGAGGGACCTAGAGAATACCTAAACTAATTTAACTTTGCTAACCTAGTATTTCCCAAATTAAACACGCCATAGCATCTGTTCTGGGAGTGGTGGGGAAAAGGCATTCTGATAACACCTCAAGGGCCACTAGTATTCTACATGTCACAGCTTTGGGAATGTTCAAATTTGTTGCCATGCCCTGGGTTGGGGTGGGAAACATTTTCATTCAAAAAGTGTTGATCAGCTCATTTAAATGTGCTGTTCTTTGACCAAAGACTTGGAAACATCAGCAGGGGAGTTTGGGTAAATCCAGCCTCTAAGAGGGACAAGGGAAGGGACAGTGAGTCCTCCTCATACTTCTAAAACCCTCGCACAGAGACATCACCTAACCTATCCTAAAGTCACCCACTGTGAGGAAACTGTCTCTAGAACTATTTAGGAAATAACCAAAATTCAAAGCAAAAAAAAGTATTATTATACCCCACCCACCCTTCTGCAAGAAATCACCCTGGACATAGGAATGAGGAGTTTCCATCCAATGGGTGAACAAAATTAGAAATAAAATTACCTCAAGGTTAGAGACATTATTAAGATTATTTACATCTAAAAATGATTTATGACAAATTTAGCACCTTTCAACCTCAATGAAAAAATTATTTACATGATATACTTTACATGTAAAAGCACAACTAACTGTATAAACTGGTTGCTATTTTTTGTATTTGAGGTAATACACAAAAAGAAGTTGCCAAATAAAACCAAGCCATTCACCCTTGGTTACTCAGAAGAGAGAGTTGTGTATAACAAACAATAATATCAATAAGTCAGCCTCTTTCCATTATTCAGTCTGATGATCACAATTGTAGAAGTATAAATTTTATTCAAATAATACCTGTAAATCTGATTCAGTAAGCCTAAGCTTTTCTAAAATCATAATAGTCAGTCTGGTCCTTAAGTATTTCCAGGTAAAGCCATTCTACCTATTACCAAAAAAACTAAAAATCTAATAATACACCACTTATAATCTTGAGATAACCCAATAGTATGTGATTGCATTGCTTATCTGGGGACACACTCTTCTGATGGTATTTAAACCAAACTTTAGCTCCTTGCACTCAAGCAGACTAACCTTTTAAATGTATAAATTGTTTGGATTTTGACTCTGAGAAAGGTAGTACCTTGATTATTTCCTTGTGTTGACTCTGAGATGCTGACCCCAAGTTGGCTGCCATAAGAATTGATGCCCATCATGCCACTGTGAGCTGGAGAGCTGGAGAGAGCTGGGATCTGGCTGGGATTCCTGGGGACACTGTAGAGGGCTTCAGCAATATCTGCGGCTCGCTTCAAAATGATGTCCTACGGGGACAAGGGGGTAAAATCATATCCTGCAAAACGGCAGGTTGAGGTGAGCATTTCATCAGGAGTCAAACGCGGTATAGAGTACAGGCTGTGAGCTCCTAACCTGGTTATTGTGCGGTGTGCCGTAGAGGGCCTCCACGAGATCCGCAGCTCTTTTCAACAGCATTTCCTAGGAAAGAAAAGGAGTAGGGTATACGCAAAGGAAGAACCCCAAATGGCAAACAGAAAGGAAAATTACGTATAAAAATAAAACATCCAGACATCCCCCTAAAATGTAAATAACTAGCCAAGAGGTCCTATGTTTGGTTTGAGAGGTAGAATATTATACATATAAATCCCTCTATAAATATGTGTCTACATGGAATTCCTCTAGATAAAATGGATCCATAAAATGTGGTGCAACCAAAACAGAGAACAACCAAATTGGGAGTAGAGTTGGTTAAAATTAATAATGTAATGAAAGTTTTATTAAGAACTACTTTCCAGGCCATTTCATGAAAAAACATGGTACTCTCTCTAATTAATCAAGTATTCTTAAAATGATTGATTGGCCTGTGTTTAGCTGCTTGCCAAGGAGTTGTCCATAGTACTGAAATTATCTTGGCAATGCCTTCTGCAAAATTTTATTCTAATAAAGATGAATTCTTCCAATACTATTTCCCCCTGTTCATTTTAACCAGAGAGAATTGGTATTCAGTAATCCCTTTCCTCTCATTTTGTCTTTTCCACCTCCTGTTTTTAACAGCCTTTTAAATTGCTATTAACCTACTTTCCAGATATCACCTAATTTAATAGTGGGGCTGGGGATTTTTCCAACTGAAAATAAAAGTATGATGTAGAAGCAACTGTGGTACTTAAATTTTACTCACAGTAGAGAAAACAGAGCATAGCATATTATAATGTGTGTGCGTAAAATGCAAACATAAATGTTAAAATGTATTAATTCCCAATTAATTGAATACCTAATAGATTGATGTATTTTTAAAAAGAAAGCTAAAATAGTGGGATAGATTTATGATATAATTTTCATAAGCAAATTCATTTAAAAGTGATGTGTTTCATATAAATTGTAGATGGAGGGGTTTTTCACTTCATTAAATACCTGTATACATAGTAAGTCCTCAATGAATACTTGATTGAGGACTAATGTGTCCCTGTAATTATGTGTAAATAAAATTATATTTAAATACAAAGGAGTGAGAAATTACAGTTTTAAGCAATTATACAATTATCTATTTTCATCAAGTTGGCAGGGTTTTATAAGCTGAATACTCATAGTGTATCTGTTTTATAGGCCCAAGTTTTCAGATTTTATATTTCCTCAGAGATTAATCATCTTATATTTCAAAGTTAGTAACTATTTTATGTGCATCTTGTATCTAAAGCTTAGCCAAATTTCAAGACCTAACTTAATTATACAGGGATTTAAGGTTCTGTATTTATCTAAATTTGCTGAAATCCTACAAGACGGTTTTCACATGTTAATTTCCAAAGTATTTTACCTTCGCTAATCTCTCAGGATCACCAGGGTGCCTCGGGATGACTTTCTGCAGCCTCTGGAAGCCATAGTCTATGGTGGGTTCATTTAATGCTGAAAAAGAAAAGTCCTCTTTTTTTTTAGTATGAATCCTCTCCACAAAACAAACTTCTAATTAAATCTTCTGTAGGTAATAGAAAGGTTCTGATGTTACCTGTCTAAGAATTGATACATAATGATACAATCAGTTAAAGATTTTTGCTATTGACATTGGTTAATTCGCACATATCTTTGGAGCTAATGGTAATTTAATGCTTTTTTTCCCATTAGAATGAGATTGCAAAATTTCAGAATTATTAAAATTATTTTATAACTTCTGCTTTAAGTGCGCACATTTGTAATCTTCTGCTCAGTCTTACATAATCAGAAATATTACACAATAAACTCTTCCCCAGTTTCTGAAGACAACAAACGACCTTTACATGCTTCCTCCTTCCTCCCATCTTCTCTTTGCCAAGTATACCTTTATCTCCTATTAGTTCTTCTCAAAATATCATTTTTTTCATATATAGATATATATGAACTTCCCATGAGTTTATTCTCATTAAACCCTGTTCTTATGCATAATACACTTTCTGATTATATTTCATCACAGGAACATTTGTTTAATGTCAGCTCCACCATATACTGCAAATTCCATACTTGTTTTGCTTTACCGCTGTGTTCCCGTGGTTGAAGACAGTGCTTGGCACACAGCAGGCACTTAGTGTCAACAATAGTGAAGTAAGTGAATAAATGAGTGAATGAATGACATATTTCAGCATTTCTACTATGCTAGAGTTTTTGAAGTAGATTCCTTTAACCTTCTTCCTCTCTTCCGTTAAGTTTTAAGTTTGTGGTTTAAATTTTGTGGTTTTGAAATTAATGCATGATAAAAGTAAAGAAAAAAGATACAAAAATAAAGCAATAATCACCTGCTCTCCCGTTAGGCAGCAGTAAACACAGTTCCTTTTTAACCTTCCTTTCTGCATATATTTTATGAATATTTGTTGCTATTACTCTAGCAAAACCACACCTCTTATTTAAAAATATAAAAAATTTTGAGTATCGAAGTAAAAATAAAATTACTCATAATCTCATCAGTTTAGAAATGATGTGGGTTAACATTTTTGCTTATATCCTTCCACATTTAACACACACATACTTAAAATTATTCAGAGACATACAATTCACACTGGTACATAACCTACTTTTATCCATTTAACAATATAGCAAACTTTCTCCCAGGTTATTAAATAATATTTTATAACATTATTATATCCCTGTGTATTTTCACTATATAGTCTATAATTTATTTAAATAGTTTCCTAATGTTAGCATTTAACATAATCCTAATTTCCCACTATTGTAAAAATCAGAGTAATAACTATTCTTTGCACATAGCTTTAATTATTTCAATTGGAAAATTTCAAGAATTAGAATTACTTGACCAAAATTTATCATTATATTAAGGCCTTTCACACATACTGTTAATCACTCCTTAGAAGAATGTACAAATTTATACTCCCTTCAGCAATGCATGTCGTCATTTTAACTTACATTCGTTTATTCATCAGTGAAGTTGAATTTTTTTTCTGTACTTGGTGATTTTAATTTCTTCTCTTATGAACTACTTATTAATAGTTTCTGCTCTCTTTTCTATTGGGGATTAGTCTCTTTTTTTTTTACTTGTAAAAACACTTTTAAGTTAATATTTGTAACACTCTGACTGTCACCATATTACAATAACATATCCCAATGTGTTCATAGGTATTATATGTAGAAAGATCACAGACCAGCCCAACTCCAAATCTGGTTAGTACACACACAAACATACACACACACACACACACTATGTGTGCTTGTGTTTACATATTCATACAGAAAAGAGTTCTTCTTTAGGTCCAACAATAAAATGTGCATTGCTTATCATATAAGTAATAAGTTTTTGGTTGCTCACTTTTATTTTTTGCTATGTATTTCATTTTTTGTTGTTTTTTATTATGACTATGATTACCCTCTCATCACATTTGCTAAGAGTTTTCCTAGAACCTAAAAACACTTTAGGTTTTTATATGTCTGTGCAGACAGTATGTATGAGAGTAGTGTGGCAATATATGGCATAGTTATTAATAGAATCAGCTTTATGCCCAGCAGACATGGCTCAGTGGTTGAGCATCTACCTGTGAACCAGGAGGTCATGGTTTGATTTCCGGTCAGGGCACATGCCCGGGTTGCAGGGTCAATCCCCAGTGTGCAGGAGGTAGCCACTCAATGATTCTCTCTCATCTTTGATGTTTCTATGTCTCTCTCCCTCTCCCTTATTCTCTGAAATCAATAAAAATATTTTTTTTAAAAAAAGAGAATCAGCTTTAGATCTTGACCATTAATCTTGGCGAGCTTCTGTTTATAATTCATCTTATGAGTTTGCCATCAAAATTAAATGAAACAATTTATATGATGCCCCAGCACAGTTCTTGGCACGTAAAAGATCTTAATTAATTGTAGCTTCCTGTTATTTTGAATCCAAATCCCTGACAGATGTCATTATTTTTTTTGTTCATTCTAAAGCTTGTACATTAAAACTTTAGTGATTTGCTGTGCACCTAAACCTCCTCACCTGGAACCTAATAGCATCTATAGGTTATGACCATTTCATCTCCTGTTGATGAACATATTGATCCCATTTAATTATTTTAATCCCATTCTTGTGTTAGCTAAAACTTCCCAAATAGTGTCTAAAAACGAGGATGGGGATGGATATTTTGCTTGCTGTCCTCTAAATGACACTAATGTTTCACCACCAAACGTGGTGTTGGCTATTCAAGACAGATATTAGTTAGCATGCATTTATCAGAACTTATTAGAATTTCAGAAAATTACAATCATATTAATCTTCTCCCAATATTTCCACAATTAAAAGTTTATTCATGAGTGTGGTATATAATTTACTTAGTATATTTCTGGATTCAATTTGTTAATATTTTCTTAAGACTATTGGTGTGAAGATTAAATCAATTAAATTACCAAGAATAGTGCCTAACACATATTGTCAACAAATGTCAGTTATTATTATTATTGCTGGGAATTTGTGTCTATATCAATAACTGGGATTGTGCTCATGGTGCTACCCAGCCTCTGATTGATTTTTATTTTATACCAGCTTTGAACAGTAAATTGAAAAGCTTTCTATATTTTATCCTATGCTCCATAAAACTTTTATAGCATGGATATTACTTCTTGACCAAAAGTTTGAAAGAACCCCAGTGAAATTGCTCTGTCAAAGTCACCGAATAACATTTTAGCCAAACCAAGAGGCACTTTTCCATTCTTATCTTAAACTCAAGTTAGCATTTAACACTGGAAATACTTCAACCCATGTGCTTTCCAGAATACACACTTCCCAGTCACTCTATGTCCTTAGCGATGCTCTCAGCCTGCTTACAGGACTGCTCTTCCACAGTGTCTTGCAGATGGGATGTTCTTCACCACAGTTGCCAAGACAGTCTTCTGCTCAGTTACACAACTCCTGCTCAAACCTCATCAGTGCCCCCATGATTTCTTTGTCAAGCCATATGCTGACTATCACAAGTCTTTATGTCCAGTGCAGTTCACTTGCCCAAGATTCAGCCTATCTATTCCAACTATGGGCTGGAAATTTCTACTTGGACATCCCCCAGACTCCACCCACTCAAGATACCCCAAGCCCAAGAGATTTTCAGTAAATTGTCCATCAGCTTGCCAATGGAAAACCTTGGAATCATTCTTGATATCTCATTATCATTGTATTTTTTAGGAAAAGCATGTATGTCATCAATATTTTAAATGCTCTAACATTGATTCTACAATAGTAATTTGTGTAAAATTCAAATCCTCTATTTCTGATTCTCCCCCACCTCTTTGTTGTAACTTTCTTAATAGCCATATTTCTAATTTTATCTTCCTTTTGTTTCCAAGAGAATACCCTAAAATTTCTAGGTGGTTAGGTATTAAATTGTTAATTATTTATTCTAGTTAATTGGATTGGATTTTTAAAAGGTGGCTTAGAGAATATCTGTGTTTGGGAATTTATTAAGTGTTTTATGAATTAAAATATATTAGTTTGTGTTCTGTGGCTAATGCTTCAAATATATTATTTAGTATATCTTTTGATCACATTATTTAACATATTTTATACATAATTGCTACTATAAATTTATCCTTCCACATATCCCTGTCTTTCTAATAGTTTTTCATGTATATATTTTCCTCTAGTGATTAGGAAGATACACATCCTATTTTAATTTAAAGCAATACCTTTAGAGTTCTTAAAAAATATTTTATCTTTTCTAATTACTTGAGTCTGTTGAGCCTTCATATACATATATATGCATATATATGTATATACATATATATATATAGCTTACCTTTGAGTTCCTGACCTCATTCTCTTCACTTTTATGTTTTTATTGTTAGTTATGTTTTTATTGTCAGCTAATATTACTATTATTAAACTTTGGATGATCAGTATCTTTTAGACATTAATTTTCATAATTACATTAAGCTTCATAGTCATATTAACAATAATTTAAATACTCTGTATTTAACTGCACTGTCTGCTGCCCAGTACTTTTGTGATACCATAACCTTTCCACTCTTGCATTCTTCGTTGATTCAATTCTCCTACAGTCAGGTTGTATCAGTGAAAATAAGAATTGAAATCTCTGAGCCCTTGAAATAGAGTGTCTTTCTGTTTTCCACACACATAAAGGATAACTTCTCTGGGTACAGCTTATTATGTCTATTCTCCCAGTCTCTGCTCACGTCCCTGGCCTGAGGTGGGGACAGTGGAGACTTGGGAGGTTTGGTCAGGCCTTCCTCCATCGCTTCCAGGCCCTGCTCTCCTTTTCCTGGAGGCGAAGGACAAGTCCAGTTTTCACACATCCGCCAACACAGCCCCGTGGGCACACACCCGCACGGAGGCTGGCATGCTGGTCATACAGCCTAGCCTCAAACCTGAATACTACCTCGCTCATTGTTATGTTTTGTTGAAAATAGCCTCCTCTATATTCAGGGGGAGAGGGGGGCAGATTACA